GCCGACTCTTTCACGGATAGTAACGGTATATTCCGTAACGTTACTGAATCTGAGGCCGTTCTCCCAAGGGAACGCATCTTGGATGAGATCAAGTGGCTGAAACTGTGTGTCAGCAAGCTGCTTCCACCTGGTTTCCCTGGTGTCACTGTCAGAAAGCTGACCAGATTGGGGAACGTTCCTATCGCTACGCCAAATCCACGACCCCGACTACTTCGCGTAGTCCTTTCTAACCCGGAGGAACGCAAATCGTTACTGCGATTTGCATTCAAACTTAAGGGTAGTGGTGTCAGCGTTCAACCGGACTGGCCACTGAGCTGAGTGGTCCGCTCACGTGCGTATTTTCAATATCGCTGGACAGCTGCAGCCTACCTTCGGAATGGAAGGAGGCAATCATCTGTCCGATTTTTAAGAGCGGTGACAGCGCTCTACCTGCGAACTACCGGCCTGTCAGTTTGACAAGCGTAGTGGTCAAGTTGTTCGAGAAGCTGGTAAGGGATTTAGTGGAGAACCACCTGAATCGATTCAACCTTCTCAGTGTTGCACAACATGGATTCCGCAAAGGATTTTCATGTCAGACTAATTTACTTGTAGCTCGTGAAAGCTGGGCCGAAGCGGTAGACAGTGGCCACGCTGTAGACGTGCTATTCGTAGATTTCTCGAAAGCTTTTGACACTGTTCCACATCTTTGGCTCTCACTAAATTTCAGATCTTACAGGATATCTGGTCGCGCCCTTTAATGGGTGTCTGCCTTCCATGAGGGGATGGAACAGTGCGTACGGGTGGGGCGTAGCATTTCGTCCAGGCAAGCTGTCCTTAGTGGCGTTTCGCAGGGCTCGGTATTGGGGCCACTGTTGTTCGCGATCTATGTAAATGACTTGCCGGGAGAGCTAGGGATGTCATCATTAATGTTTGCTGACGACCTTAAGCTCTGGAATATTGTGGATATCCCGGGGGTCCTGAGGCAAATCATCGTGCCTTGGATAGACTCCTGGAATGGTCTATCTTATGGTTGATGCCCATATATAGGGTGAAGTGCTCTGTTCTCCGAATCGGAGCTGCTAATTCTGCTACCCGATATGCTGACGGTGGTGGTGAACTCCCTGTTGTCACTTAGCAGGTTGATTTAGGATTCGTAAACGCATCAGCACTTCATTCTGGAGACAAATGGAAGAAGACTGCTTGTCGAGGGTTTTGTATGATGTGGTTTATCCGCCGCTCTTTCGGAATCTTAACGGCCAAGTTGTTTACGAAGCTATTTTCGGCATTCGTCCGACCCAACCTGGAATATTGTATTCAGGCTTGTCCACCATGCCTTAACCGAGGCAAAATGGACTTGGAGAGGGTGTTACGAGTGGGCACTCGGTTAGTGCAGGGTCTACGGGGACAGACGTATCCTGAAAGCCTGGTCAGTTTGGGTATGTACTCCATGCACTACCGAAGGATAAGAGGGGACCTGATTCTCACTTATCGTATTTTGGTGGGTAAGATTGGCCCGAACTTGTCAGGGTTATTTAGTCCCGCTACGTTACCTAGTCTCCGTGGTCACCCACTGAAACTGTATAAACCACGGTCTGATAGGACTAGGACGGAAACTCGTCTATCGCGCAGAGTTATAGATGGCTGGAATTCGCTTCCAGATCACGTGGTTAGGGAACCTACAGTTAAGGGTTTTGCGCGCCAGCTCGATGCTCTTTGGTGGCAACAGCAAACCTTTCCTTTTTCCTAGCTGACTCACCTCCACTTTTCAGTTCTTTTTTTATTGTTTCAAATATCTTGGTATTCCACTTGCTTAACTCTTACCACTTTCTCTTTTGCCTCCTGCGTTTACTTTTTTCTCTTTCTTACTTCACGTAACCGACACAGCAGGGACTGCTAGGGCAGGATACGTGGGCATTAATTGGTTGGACAGGGTATGATGCGGTCTTTGTTTTAGATCCATCAGTATTTCAAAGTTCGCCAACTCCTGATTCAACGACCCGCCGAAATAGGAACACTCACGGGATCATCCTATCGTTCCAGTCCCGCTTGAACTTGAACTTTAAAATGTTGATGCAGTATTTTACGATGTATGAGACGGCGTTTGTTTTGTGCGCAATTGTTGTTTCTGTTTCGCTACTATGGCTGTGGATAATACTCTTCCCTTAGAAAAATTACGTGGAGTGGTGCCATTTAGTACTCACGGGCATCCAGCTTATAAAAGCAGTCAGTCAGCTCCATTGCATTGCTGTGACACCTTATGTGGAGCCAGCAACCTATAATACTTCAGAGAGGCCAGCACATTGCGGTTATTAGTTAGATCTATTGCACATTGCAGCATTATCGCTAGACAATATATGAAGCAAGCAACCCATTTTAATTACTGCCAACTAACTTCTTTCAGTAGCCCATTTAATATAATGAGTATCCTGTAACACATATTCGCATCATTATTTAGTGGTAGTCCGACGATAAGCATTACAAAAGCTTTTGCAGACATGCATATCTACTCACAGTCTACCGTTTATTTATCAAACTAAATAATTTTAAAAGCCCGTTCCCCTATACAAAAGGCTGCAGCTAAACTCATTCATCTACCGCATAATATATCACCAGGCGTATCAAAAAGTAGACATTTTATCTAAACTTTAGACTCTTCTTGCATAATTATGTTTTCTTTACACCGCCTGATGCTACTGCATTAGCACAGCATCTTGTACTCCAAGCAAATTGCTTGCAAATGTCCTGACGATTAAAGCTGCCATTAACGCCGGCTAAACAAACGCCGATTACAGCAAACACATTTCTTATTGACGCTCATTATGTGCCCTTACATAACAACTTATTGAAACTGAAACTTACGCCACTGCGAAAAACACAACATGGTAATGATTAAGCAATCCTATTTCATACCTTGGTTATATTACGCTTTAACTGTTGGTTACCTTTGCACCTTTTTGAGGTTGCTGTACGCTGGTTCGGCGGCCGACAACTTACTTTCGTGCGTCATACCGATTCAACCTTCCCGAACTTCACTAAAGCTTATTTTGAGTAAGTGGGCATAAGAAAAAGAAGTAAGTTCAAGTTCAAGTTCAAGTGGGACTGGAACGATAGGATGAATCCCGTAAGTGTTCCTTCTTGAGCGGGTCGTCGATCCAGGAGTTGATAGGGGTGCTCCGACTTCTTGATGGGTCTAAAAGGAAAACACCCGAAAAACACCCTGGTCCACCAATTTAATGCCCACTTTCCTAACATTAGCTGTCCCAGCTGTGTCAGTTACGTGAAGTAAGTAAGAGAGGAAGGAGAATCGAAGGTAAGAGAGTAGGGGAAATCAGTTAAAAGAAGAGAATAATACCAATGACGAGGAAAAGCAAATAAAATATAACGAAGTATGAAGATGGGAATCTGTCAGGAAAACGGAAAGGTTTCGTATTGCCACCCAAGAGCATCTAATTGACGCTCAAACCCCTTAACCGTAGCTTCCTTGACAACATTTTCAGGAAGCAGGTTCCAGCGCTCGATGACTCGACGCGATAAGCGTGTCTCCGCTCTAACTCGATCGGACCGCGGTTTGTCCAGCTTCATACAATGCCCGCGGAGACCAGATAATCTAGCAGGACTAAATAGCATGGACAAATCAGGGCCAACCTTCCCAGTCAAAATACGGTAGGTTAGGATTAGGTCCCCTCTAATTCTTCGGTAGTGCATTGACTGCATTCCCAAACTAAGTAGGCGTTCGGGGTACGTTTGCCCTCGTAATCCCTTGACCAACCTAGTACCGACACGCAACACCCTTTCTAGTGCCATTTTGTCCCGGACAAGGCATGGTGGACAGGCCTGGACGCAATATTCTAGGTGGGGTCGCACAAACGCTGAGAAGAGCTTCACAAACACATCAGCGGTTAGGGTCCCAAAAGAACGACGGATAAACCACAACATTCGGAACCCTTTACTAGCCGCCTTCTTCCAGTTGTCTCCAGAGTGTAATGTGGAACAGTGGACGACACCTAGATCAACCTGATGAGTCACGTGAGGAAGTACAGTCCCATCGAGCACATAACTTGTGGAGGAATCAGACGCTCCGATACGCAGCACTGAACACTTTGCCCGGTTTATAGGGAGCAACCACAAGACAGACCATTCCCAAAGTTTATCCAGAGCCCGTTGAAGAGCCATAGGACCTCCAGGGATATCAACAATATTCCAGAGCTTTAGGTCATCTGCAAATAAAAGCGATTGTACCTCAAGCTCCTCCGGCAAGTCATTCACGTAGACTGAGAACAGCAGCGGACCTAGGACAGAGCCTTGCGGAACGCCGCTAAGCACAGCCTGTCGAAACGAAAGACTGCTTCCCACACGAATACACTGTTCCCGTCCATCCAGAAAAGCTGACACCCACTGGAGAGCACGACCAGCTATTCCATACGACCTCAACTTCAGCGAGAGTCGCGAATGGGGGACAGTGTCAAAGGCCTTGGCGAAGTCAATGAACACCACATCCACCGCATGTCCACTGTCTACGGCTTCAGCCCAGCACTCTCGAGCTACCAGCAAGTTCGTCTGACACGAAAATCCTTTGCGAAAACCATGTTGCTCGACGCTAAGCAGGTTAAACCTACTTAAATGGTTCTCCACTGTATCTCGTACTATTTTTTCAAGTAACTTAACGACCACGCTAGTCAAGCTGACAGGCCTGTAATTAGCCGGTACGTCTTTGTCACCGCACTTGAAAATCGGGCAGACAACAGCCTCCTTCCATTCGGTAGGCAAGATACAGCTGTTGAGTGACTTCTGAAACACACAAGTCAGAGGTCCACTGAGTTCCCCTGCCAATTCGTGCAACAATTTTGGATGAACAGAATCTGGCCCAGAAGCCTTAGTTGGGTTCACCTCTTTTAGCAACCGGAGAACTTGGGACTCCGTTACAGGAATTTCATCCAGACAACAGTCCTCAGGGACCCTTGGAACTAACTCTTTGCATGGCGTATTTGTCTCGCGGACAAAGACGCTTGAGTACTGCTTACCAAGCACGCATGCCTTGTCATAGTCGCTATAGGCATGGGTCCCATCTCCTCGAAGCAATGGTGGAATGGGCGAGTTTGCACCACAGCGTCGTTTAACGTAAGCAAAGAATCTCTTGGGATTTTTCGAAGCAGTATTAGCTAAGCCCTTTTCATACTGAAGCCGGGCCAACCTAAGATGCAGCTTGCACTCATTTCGAACCAACCGATACTTGTCAAACGTGCTGTTTGATGGAGCTGTTCGGTAAGCTCGCCAGCATCTAGACCGCTTCTTTAGCAGGCCCTTCCCCGCGGAATCTATCCACGGAGGCTGCGCTCTCGATTCCCTTCTTTTTACCAGTGGGACGTGAGGTGCAGAAATGTCGACGAGGTGAGCCTTAAGCTTTTCCCAGGCTATGTGAACAGTGTCGGTCTCAGATATCACACAAGGCGATGACCTAGCTCTATCCCGCATCGCTTGGAAGTCCGCGGCCCAAATGTTCGGATACCAACTGGTAGTAGCTTGGCAAGACCTGATAAGAGCACATTGGAAAGACAAGCAAACGTGATCGCTAGCGCCAAGAGGCGAGTCATATTTAATGTCATTTACAAAGTCAAGTGACTTAGCAAAAACAAGATCTAAAATGGACGGCTGCTGATTGCTCATGTACCTAGTGGGGAGGTCCACGAACTGGTGTAGTGGTACCTGCAGCGTCAAGTCCAGCAGTTCTGTACCGAACGATTCCAGCGTCGAACTGCAAGATAGATCATCCCAACAAACATCTGGGAGGTTAAAGTCTCCCAGCACCAGACACTTGTTTGCAGAGTGAGTGCGTATAAAGTCAATGATTCCATTGGAGGTGCTCATAGGGCTTCTATACACTAACACAACCGTAACCTGAACCGAGGAAGCGCAAATCAAGACTGCGAGAGCCTCAACAGATTTGTCGAGAGACTGAAAAACGCTGGTCCTCAATACGTCGATGTGATAACTCACATAAAGAGCTACACCACCCCCTTGACGGCCAGTGGAGCGATCAGCGCGGAACAGTGCGTAGCCAGGCAGATATACTTCGCCATCTGTGATTTCCTCAGACAGCCACGTTTCAGTGAAAGCAAGTATATCTGGACGAGATTTGTCTACGAGCAGACCCACCTCGCACATTTTGTTCCTCAGGCTACGCACGTTACTAAGTACTACTTGGAGTGTTTCGGCCCGACCAGCCCTGGGTCGTGCGCAATTAGTATAGGTTCTGGCAGGGCGGAAAAGGACCGCCGGCTGACCACCTGAAAACCCACCAATCGGAGACCTTGCTCGCCAGCTGCACGCCGGGCTTTTAGGTCTCTGATGGCTTCCTTTAACTTTAACCTATCCGCTAACGGAAGGTCTGGTTGCACACTAACGTTGGTACCCTTGAGTTTGAAGGCAAATCTCAGTAAGGCCCTGCGCTCTTCTGGGGTGGAGAGGACCACCCTAAGCAAACGGGGTCGAGGATTTGGTTGACCAACCGTAACGTTCCCCAATCTGATGAGCTTCCTGACAGTAACGCCAGGGAAACCTGGTGGTAAAAGCCTGGTCACACAAACTTTAAGCCAATCAAGATCCTCACGCATGCGCTCGGCAGTAAGAGCTGCAGTGGATTCAGTGACGTTTCTGAAAATCACACTGCTATCTGTGTAAGAATCGCCTCGACGAGGTGTATTTACACCACATGCTCTACCATCCACGCCATATGGTTGTCTGACGGGAATTGGTGAAACCGAAGGCGACGGTACCTCTTGTCTCACTGAGGGAAGTGCAAGACCAGGTAGTGTTTTCAAAGCAGGCGCTTGCTGCTTGAGCATTTGGTCACCTTCCGGTTTGGGGGCGGAGGGTTTGCGCGCTTTCCTTACCCTCTTACGCTTATTCTTTAATGGCTCAGGAGCCCGTGATTCGCCTTCCATTTGGGGCGGGTCAAAAATGCCGTCCGAGGCATCTGTGTCTGTTATATCCAGGTGAACAGGAGCGTCCAGGAGGATGAACTCCTCGTCAACGGTTGGACTATCAGCAGAAGGACAGTCAGTTACAGCGTCCACATTCGCGATATTAAGTGATTTCATAATCAAATCCACTTTAGAATTGAACGAGGCAAGTAAGGCAAGCTCGGCTAATGCCTTCTCGACAACTGTGAATCTGGACGCTAGTGCTTTGAATTCAGCTCAGGTGAAAGCCGGGAGCTTCGCTTTCTGAGCGCAACAATCAGCACATCTAAACAGAAGGCTTTCACTGGATGATAGCACCTTGTACTGATTCGCTCGGAGGCCGGTACAACTTTTGTGATACCAACGAGAGCAAATATCACACTGCATACCACCAGATTAATCTGTGACTGGCCTTGAACAGCCAGAATTGCTGAAAGGTGCATTTGACTCATCAAACGAAGACGCGAGAGCTTCATCCGTCCCGGTATTTTGCGAGACGACCATATTGAAGTGGAAAACAACGCAGAATTTAAAAACACGTATACAACCGTAAAACTACCACAATAAAAAGGCAAAACAGGGTGTAAAACGGGATTAAAAAGGGAACAACCGCAACATTACCAGTAAGCGTCAGGAAGACGCTTTGGCCAGAACCACTTTAGTCGACCCAAGATATTTTGGATCAGATGAAATTTGACAAAAGCCAAATTTCGTTTCAAGTGTTTATTCAAACACTGTTTTCCACGTTATTTCAACTAAAAATCTCGATCAGTATGGCACGCCAAAAAACCGAGTTACCGCGTAGCACTCACAGTACACAGCAGAGTTAGAAGGATTAAACAAAACTTAGTAGGTTCCAGTAATGCAAACTAAAGTAAAACGCGAACTTTAGGGCTACGATAAGACTGTGTACTTAAGTAGAAAAATACAAATTTGTGTCAAATATAAGTAACTGCATTCGCGCTAGTTTTTCGCTGGAAAAAGAATTTAAACTGTGTGAATCTCAGACCAAATGAACACGCTGCTAAAGCTTAAGAGATTGAAAAGAGTCGGATAAATGTAAGCTTTGTAAAACGGTTCGAACCACTAAATACGTCAAACGTGAAAGTGATATTATAAATGTAGTAGTTAACGCCTTATTCAAGATTGAAGGGCACTGCGAATAACGCCACTATTGTATTCATCTAAAAACGGCTATCTGCGTTGCAAGCATATGTCAGAAAAGGAAATGGAAACGTAAACATATGAAGAAGCGAGAAGGTTCTAAAAAGGCATACCTAGCTGGAATGGTCCTAAATAGCACGAAATTGTCTGCAATAATTAGCTACCAGATAACTGTCTGTAAAATAAATTTTTCTGGCGTACGTAGCAAATATAGGCACATGAGAGATAAAGTTTCGCGAATACCCTAACAGTCTACTAATAAGTGTTATGTATGCAAGCGACTTAAGGACGACCTCTAATCAACCCACGGTCAACAGTCGACGGTGTACTATTTGCAGAGGATACTGTGGCAACCTAACCACTATTAATAACTTTTAGCATTTTTACGCCTTTAAGCTTTTGCAAAATTTTATCAGGACTTCATAAGCCAGTTCTATTTAGGTAATACCTGTGACCTTTACGATCACTTGACGTTGGGTCCTATAAAATGCACATATCTCCTTTATAAACATCGCATGTTTCGCCTTTTCGTATCCAGTTTATCTATCCATATGCTCAAGTCACATATATCAGGATGCCAATGGAGCCTGTCGTTAAAAATAAAGAAACTGTATCGAAAAACTAAGCATTATACTTCATGGCTTATACTTTAGTTGGGCCTGCTTTGCCTGAGCATCAATAACCCATCTTCTACGGGTTGAGTTTGTTCGAACATGTTGTGCTTTTGTGTTTGTACCAATTACTTTTCGTCCCTTTGTTTCCGTTCGCGCTCCTTCTCTCCAAACTTAAAGTCTGCAGCGAGTGCCAGCGATGTTCAGCAATTTGGCAATGTTAATTATGACCGTGGCGTCCCATCGGCTAGTACCTTGGTGGCTTTGCTGGTGAGGGCTGTCCTTGTATCTTAAGCAATATATGTTTAGGTAAACCACGCACAAAAAGTACACGAAACCTTGGTCTGGTTGTTCACACATCACTAGGCCTAACACGTGATAAGCTTTGGAATCAGGTAAATGCTAAAATTACGCATGAACGGCCAATATACTGCGAAGTGGCGGTCAAACGTTTCTGTATGTCCGGGCAGCCAGGCTGACATTTACCTCACGATCGCTGGTTAGCTTTTGTGCCAGTGAAATGGAACCCAGAAATGTCAAGGTTTGACTAACAAAAGATGCAGAGGAAGAGGATCTACTTAGCGTGATGCCTTGCTACTAGTGTTTTCACTATGGATCGGCACATGTATAACACAGATAACGCTAAGTATATGGGGTTAAATTAGTATAAATGGAGAGCAGAGTGGCTCTTATAGTACCCCTTTTATCGACAAGCTGGTGGGTATATATGTTATTTTTGTGGTAGGTGCACCGATAAAGGTTGTTACCGGCGGAGTTAGGTAGCGAGAACTTAGGCTAAATGAAAGGAATCACTTAAAGCTAATGGGCTACCGCCGAGTAAGAAGGAACAGTGAAGCAAGTCCAATTTTGACCTTTGGAGGTTGTTTCGGAAAACCTTATTGATAACCGTAAATGTATTGCGTATGCCGATAGCAACCATGTACACTAACCTCTCATACGAGGCTGCGTTCTGGTAGAATACTTTTATTTGGCTTATCAGTGATGCCATCTGCGAAACACTTTTTACGGACACAGTGGTCCACGTACTTGGAAAGTTTTAAAGCTAAAGCTTAAGACTACTACTAGAGATATAGATAACATGCAAGGAATAAATGTTACCTACCAGGATGTATTCAATTGCGCCATGCGATATCCTATTTGAGGTATGCCTAAAAATTTGTGAATCTGTTAGTAAGCAGATCCGGCTGTACTATTTGTTAAGCGTTTGGAGCATTGACAAGATGGTTATTGGTGTATAGGCATGGTCAAGTGCACGAGCAAGTTCAAAGTTCACGCTGGTAAACGGACGGCAATAATCCGATCAATGTATAACTGTGTAAGTGCATTAAGTTGTCGCAAGGATAAGCATGAACCAATAAGGAAGCAGATAATTAGAAGCTTTGTGTGTGTGCCTGGGGTTTGTTCGCGTGTCTGTTTAGACTAGCTGTCAAGAAAGCTGACTGAATACACAACATCCGCCCTACGCTTAAGCGAATGCTTCGTCAAAATCATACCGGTTCGGTCGCCTTCGTTCTCGGCTCTTCCTGCGAAGCTGCTTGCCTTGCGTGGTTTCGTCAATGACGGTTGGTGGCAAATGCTCCTTTCATCTGATAATTGTGATTAACCTCCGGCCTTGAAGACGCCGCCATCCTCCAGTTGGTAAATGCCTGGCCCACATGCAAGCGTTATTCTTATCATATCTGATAACGTAGGCTGTCCTTTTGTTGCGGCGTTTAACTTCACGCCGGGCTGGAGCCAAGTAGTATGCTTCTGGTAAGTGGTCTGATTTCGGTGACGACTATCTAACTCGCCGGGATTATTGTTTTTAGGAATAGAAAGTGCAGCATACAACTTTGTCCAAAGGGCACTCCCAAGCATGAGTTCAGCTGACGTTTTGTTTGTGGCTCGGTGTGGTACGGTTCGGTAAGAAAATAGTGCTTTCAGAACGGCATCCTCTTAACTTGTACCAGATAAGCGAATAGTTTGCATACTCTCTTTCAAGCATCGATTGAACCGTTCCACCTTGCCGTTTGCCGCTGGATTATACGACGTTGTATGTGTGTGTCGGATAGCATGCATTTGAAGGAACGAATAAAACGCGTGGAGTGTAAACTGCTGCCCGTTTTCCGTCACCTCCTCCGGTAATCCGAAGCCGGAAAACATACAGTTCAACCATCGAATAATGCTGGTAGTGGTCAGCACTCCACATTAATGGACTTCCGGCCACTTACTGTAAAAGCAGGTCGCCACAAAACGGTTCCTTTGATGCTGAGGCGCTGAGATAAACGGACCCAGGCTGTCAATAGCCAAATTTGCAGACGGTCGCATAGGTAGTATAGGTCGGTTGTACAAGTGAGGAAACCGGCCATGAACTTTTGTCTGCCCTTTGACATGCAGAGCAGTCAAGAACAAGTTTTCTATTTCGTGTGACCTTTGGGCCACTAGAAACATGCGACAACCTTGCGTTTCGTACGTACGATACCAGGGTGGCTTTCGTGAGGATATTGCATGATGTTTTGTATCAAGCTGCAAGAAGTCACAAACTTTTCGCCACACATTAAGCATAAATCTATAAAGGAAAGTTCGTGACGCAACATGTAGTATGGACGAACCTGGGCCGTGAGCTTGGTATTTTGTGGCCAACCCCTATGCAGAAAACCCTGAACGCGGCAGTGTCTCATCTACCTGAGTCGCCTTCTTGAGTTCTTCCTTGGTCAGGGCTGAGGTTGGTTCATTACTCAGTGACGGCACCAGTAATCCCTCATTTCCATCCTCCTCAAGTTCAGTTTCTTTGAGGGGCAGACGACTGTTGTGGAAGCAACGTGGAGCGATAGCTCTTCAATTGACTTTTGTTGGGGTACATCCCAAACAAATATACTTTTCTCCCTTGTCCGTTCACCCAGTGGCTCAACACTATGCGTGAAATCCTGCGGGTACCATAGGTTATTAGAACACATACCTTGAAAACGCTTTACTTTGGTTAAATTCTAGGGGCAAGGAACCTCGGAGCTAGCACGAGCGTTGCCAAAGTTATTGAAGAAGTGAAGCTGTTGGAATAGAAATACCGGTTGGTCCTGGCAGCCTCTGTACCAAAGGGTCAGGGGAAGCCGAAGTAGGCCAGCAACTAAACGGAAATGTCTACATTTATTTCGTACTCATGTTTTTAGTCTGAAGGCCTGTAGGATGCTTGCGGCTGATCCGGCTAAGACCTACTCGGTGTGGTGAAAGAGGAAACGTGGAAGCTAAAAACTGAGGGTGACCATTAATGGAGAGGATTCCTATGGGTTGAGATTCCAGTTAGCACTTACCGACAGCTTTTGTGGAGGTTTCTACTCCTCCCATGGGATTTAGGTCAACGGGTCG